TTCCTAGGAGGCCCTTCCCCCCCTGGTCTTATTAGCAGAAGACAATCTGCAAATCCCTGGGCTTCCCTCAGCCCCTAGGCTGCCTTATCCTAAACCCTCATTTGGGAGCTAATTAGAGAATTCTGTTCATGGAACTCACAAGGATTTCAGTCCCCAATCCTGGCCCTGGCTGTCTCAATGGAAATAGTTGCTGGAGGAGAGACTCCTGAGGCTCTGTGGAGCTGCGGAAATTCACAAAGTTTATCAATTAGTTTCCTCTTGTCTGATATATCAAAATATACTGAAGAGTTTGGGGACTCAAGAGATGAATCCCAGTGTGTGGCAAAGACACCGTGGTTTCTACTAGTTCTTTCTTGGAAGGACAGTCAAGTGTGGTACAAGGGCCATAGCACTGGCCAGAGGATTGAAATGACTATCATTTGGTTCAGTTGGGTGCATAAATTCATGCTCTTCTGAGAGAGAGAGAGAGAGAGAGAGAGAGAGAGAACAAACTCTAGGAATATGGTAACTCCTTCAACTAAAAATCTAATGGACTATATATACCACATTTTCTTTAACCATTCATCTATTGAGGGACACCTAGGTTGGTTCCATAGTTTAGCTATTGTGAATTGAGCTGCTATAAACATTGATGTGGCTGCATCACTATAGTATGCTGATTTTTAAGTACTTTGGGTATAAATCAAGGAGTGGGAATAGCTGGGTCAAATTGTGGTTCCATTCCCAACTTTCTGAGGAATCTCTATACTGCTTTCCATAGTGGGTGCACCAATTTGGAGTCCCACCATAATGTATGAGTGTACCTTTTTCACCACATCCTCACAAACATTTATTATTGCCATTCTGAGAGGAGTGAGATAGGACCTTAGAGTAGTTTTGATTTGCATTTCTCTAATTGCTAGAGATGTTGAATACTTTTTCAAATATTTGTTGATCAATTGTATTTCTTCCTCTGTGAAGTGTTTGTTCAGTTCCTTATCCCATTTATTGATTGGGTTTGGTGGGTTTTTTGTTTTTTTTTTTTTTGGTGTTTTTTGAGTTCTTTGTGTTTCCTAGAGATTAATGCTTTATTGGAATACATGTGGTAAGATTTTCTTCCAATCTGTAGGCTTTCTCCTCACATTATTAAATGTTTCTTTTGCTGAGAAGATTTTTAATTTGAATCCATCCCATTTATTGATTCTTGATTTTACTTCTTGTGCTTTAAGAGTCTTGTTAAGGAAGTCAGATCCTAGGCTGACATGGTTAAGGTTTGGGCCTAATTTTTCTTCTATTAGTCTCTGTTCTAGTGACTAAGTCTTGATCCACTTTGAACTAATTTTTGAGTATGGTAAGAGATAGAAGTTTCATTTTATTTTACTACGTACGGATTTCCAGTTTTGCCAGCACAATTTGTTGAATAGACTATCTTTTCTCCAGTGAATGTTTTTGGCACCTTTGTCTAGTATGAGATAACCGTATTTATGTGGGTTTGTCTATGTGCCTTCTATTCTGTATCATGGGTCTAGAAGTCTACTTTGGTGCCAATACCATGCCATTTGTGTTACTATAGCTCTGTAGTATAGTTTAAGGTCTGGTATTGTGATTCCTCTTGCTTCACTTTTCTTGCTAAGAATTGCTTTAGCTATTCTGGGTCTCTTATTTTTCCAAATAAATTTCATGATTGCTTTTTCTATTTCTATGAAGAATGCCATCGGGATTTTAAATAGGAATTGCATTAAATCTGTATAACGCTTTCAGTAGTATTGTCATTTTTACATTATTAATTCTGCCTATCCAGGAACATGGGAAATCTTTCCATCTTCTGAGGTGTTTCAATTTCTTTCTTTAGTGTTCTGTAATTTTCATTGTAGAGGTCTTTTACGTCTTTTGTTAGATCGATTCCCGGGGATTTTATTTGTTTGTTTGTTTTTGAGGTTATTGTGAATGGAGTATATTTCCTAATTTCTCTTTCAATGGATCCATCGCTGATATATAGGAATGAGTTTGATTTATGGGTGTTGATTTTTATATCCTGCTACCTTGCTGAATTCATTTATTAGTTCTATAAGCTTTCTGGTGCAATTTTTTTTATCTTCTAGATATAGAATCATGTCATCAGCAAAGAGTGATAGTTTGAGTTCTTCTTTACCTAATTTGTATTCCTTTAATTTTTTTCTTTTGTCTAATACCTCTGGCTAGAGTCTCAAGGATGATGTTGAATAGAAGTGGTGAAAGAGGACATTCTTGTCTTGTTCCAGTTTTTAGTGGGAATGCTTTCATTTTTTTCCATTTAGAATGATGCTGGCCTTGGGTTTACCATATATAGCTTTTATAATGTTGAGGTATGTTCCTACTATCCCTAGTTTTTCTAGTGTTTCAAACATGAAGAGATGCTTTATTTTGTCAAATGCTTTTTCTGTATCTATTGAGATGATCGTATGATTCTTGTTTTTAAGTCTATTAATATGATGGATTACATTCATTGATTTCCATATGTTGAAACAACCCTGCATCCCTGGGATGAATCCCACTTGACCATGGTGCACTGTATTTTTAATATGTTTTTGTATGTGATTTGCCAGAATTTTATCAAGAATTTTTGCATCTATGTTCATCAGAATATTGGTCTGAAGTTTTCTTTCCTTTGTGTGTCTTTGTCTAGTTTTGGTATCAGGGTGATATTAGCCTCATAGAATGAATTTGGAAGGGTTCCCTCCTTTTCTATTTCATGGAATATTTTAAGGAATATTAATGTTAATTATTCTTTGAAAGTCTCGTAGAACTGGGCTGAGAATCTATCTGGTCCTTCCTGGGCTTTTCTTGGTTGGGTAGGTCATATGTCTCTAGAAAATTGTCAATGTCTTCGATATTTTCAATTTTATTAGAGTATAAATTTTCAAAGTAGTTTCTAATTATCTTCTGTATGTCATATGTGTCCTTTGTGATATTTTCTTCTTCATCTTGTATTTTCATAATTTGAGTTTTCTTTCTTTTTCTCTTCATTAGCATGCCCAGGGGTTTATCTATTTTATTTATTTTTTCAAAGAACCAACTTTTTCTTTTGTCAATTTTTTCAATTGTTTCTTTTGTTTTGATTTCATTGATTTCAGCTCTGATTTTAATTATTTCCTGTCTTCTACTGCTTTTGGTGTTGATTTTTTTTTCTTTTTCTCGGGCTTTGAGATATAGTGTCAGATCATTTATTTGTTGACTTTTTATTCTTTTAATGAATTCATTCAATGCAATAAACTTTCCTCTTAGTACTGCCTTCATAGTGTCCTATAGATTTTGATATGTTGTCTCAGGGTTCTCATTTACCTCTAAGAATTTTTTTTATTTCATCCTTGATTTCTTCTACTATCCATTCATCATTCAATTGTGTGTTATTTAGTCTCCATTTCTTACAGTAGCTCCTATTTTTTATTTTATTGTTGATTTCTAATTTCATTCCATTGTGGTCTGATAGAATACGGGGTATTATTATTATTATCTCTGGGGTTTTTTTGTATTTACTAAGAATTGCTTTGTCTATTTTTGAGAAGGATCCATGTGCTGCTGAGAAGAAAGTATATTCACTTATTGATATTCTATATATGCCTGCTAAATCTAAATTATTGATTGTATTATTTAGTTCTATAGTTTTCTTTTTTAGTTTTTGTTTAGAAGATCTGTCCAGTAGTGAGAGGTGTGTTAAAGTCACCTATTATTATTGTATTGTGATATATTTGACTTTTGAAATTGAGAAGGGTTTGTTTGATGTACATAGATGCTCCATTGTTTGGGGCATAAATATTTATAATTGTTATGTCCTGTTTATATATACTTTCCTTGAGAAGTATGAAATGTCCTTCTTTGTCTCTTCTGATTAACTTTGGTTTGAAGTCTACTTTATCTGAAATGAGAATGGAAACCCTTGCTTGTTTATGCAATCCATATGAGTAATAAGTTTTTTCCCATCCTTTCACCTTCAGCTGTGGTCTTTGCCCATGAGGTAAGTCTCTTGAAGACAATATATTGTTGGGTCTTGCTTTTTAATCCAATCTGCCAGTCTGTGTCTTTTGATTGATGAGTTTAGGTCATTAACATTCAAGGTTATTATTATTGAGGTATGTTTTTTATTCCCTGTCATTTTGATTTACTTTGTTTTTTTTTATTTATCTTAGTTTTTCATTTGGTTGAATGTCCCTTTAGTGTAGATTCTCCCTTTGCTGGTTTTCACTTTTTTTTTCCACTTCATCCTCATGGGATATTTGTTGAGAATGCTCTGTACTATAGACTTTCTAGTTGTGGATTCTTTTACTTTTTCTTTATCATGGAATGTTTTAATTTTATCTTCAAATCTGAAACTTAGTTTTGCTGGATATAAAATTCTTGGTTGGCATCCATTTTCTTTCAGAGCTTGAAATATATTATGCCAGGACCTCCTAGCTTTGAGGGTCTGGGTTTAGAAATCAGTTGAGATTCGAATTGGTTTCCCCCATATGTGATTAGATTTTTTTCTCTCACAGCACCCACATGAGCCAGACAGTCCAGAGGATACTGGTGGCTGCGTCCTGGGCTTGTGCCTTCACCAATGCACTGACCCATACTGTGGCCTTAACTACCCTCAACTTTTGTGGACCCAAAGAAGTGAATCACTTCTACTGTGACCTTCCCCAGCTCTTCCAGCTCTCCTGTTCCAGCACCCAGCTCAATGAGCTGCTGCTCTTCGCTGTGGGTTTCATAATGGCAGGAACCCCTGTGGTTCTCATCGTCAGTTCCTACATCCACGTGGCAGCTGCAGTCCTGCGAATCCGCTCAGCTGAGGGCAGGAAGAAGGCCTTCTCCACATGCGGCTCCCACCTCACCGTGGTTTGCCTTTCTTATGGGACAGGCATCTTCAACTACATGCGTCTGGGTTCAGAGGAGGCTTCAGACAAGGATAAAGGGGTTGGGATTTTTAACACTGTCATCAATGACAGGCTGAACCCACTCATCTACAGCCTCAGAAACCTAATGTTCAAGGTGCTCTGAGGTGAGTATTTGTGGTTATTGACATGAGAAGTGACAGGATTCCTCCTTTCCTGCCTTTTCTTGACAGCAAACTTTCCCATAAAGGCAACAATCAATTAAAAAATGGTTCATTTTTCCTATCTCCTAATGCCTGAAGTTAGTGTTATGTGTTTGCCCTACAAGGAGACCCTGCATAATTCATTCGTTTACCCATTCAATAAGTACTTGTTGAATTACTTCTGTAATCCAGAGAGTCTTTGAAGAAATTGGTGAGCAGAATAGACAGAAGTCCCTGCAGGAACTCACATTCTATAAAAGTCAGCAAGATAAAGGAGCAACACATACAGTGTATCACAGAGTAACAACTGCTCTAAAGAAAAGCAGGTGTGAGGGCTATGAAGTTAGATACTGCCAGGCAAGGCCCCTGGGCACATGGCTACCTTATTTTTACTGTGGCCACTTTCTGGGTAGAGTTAAAACCCTAGAAGCCCTCTATGTCTGGGGAGCAATGTCCCAAGGGAACATCCATTTGGTTCCTCACAGGTTAAGATTCTAAAAATATCACTTTAAAGTTTCCTTCTGGTGGGGATGTGAGATTCCCTCCAGACCAGAGTGTGGAAATTTTCTTTAAAAACCACAGTCCCAGTGCCAGGGATGATCTCATCCAACTCTTTGCCTTTCATCTCCAAGAAAATTGGTTTCCTTTCTTCACTATCACATAAGAATCTCATGGATGTTTAGGGAACAGGAAGGGTATAGATAGGAAAAAACTCAAAAAAATAAAATTACATTAATATACACAGGGTACATCTTTTGGGGGCACGAGGCAGGGAACTGAACTCAGGGGGCACTCAACTCCTGAGCCACATCTCCAGTCCTATTTTGCATTTTATTCATTTAGCGACAGTCTCACTCAGTTGCTTAGTGCCTTGCCATTGCTAAGGCTGGCTTTGAACTCACAATCCTCCAGCCTCAGCCTCCCAAGCTGCTGAGATGACAGGCATATGCCACCCATGCTTGGCTCACGTGATACATCTTAAGATCAAAAAAGGAATGTTCCATGCCCACCCACTGCCATGTCTTTTTCTCTTAATTGATAGGTCCTTCAATTAAGGACCTTCCTCATACATAAGATAAAGACTTTGAAAAAGTAAGTATTTAAACTCCAGCCAGGAATCCATAGAATTTCCAAAGTGGAACATCCAAGACAACCTTCCCTTCTTAGTTATCTCTCTCCAAACTTTTTAATTGGAAATACATATCAATAAATGTCTGTGGAAGTGATAGTAATGTCTATTGCTGTGTAGCTGTGTATCTTCCTTTCTTCTACCTATCCTCTGCCCTTCACCACTCCCATCCTTCATCTTTTTCTCTATTTATTTCATGGATTAAACAGAATATTTGATATAAGGTGTACAAATAAAACTTGCCCTTTAAATATATTTTGTTATTGTACTTGAATTACAATTCCCTTCCATCTCCTAAATATGTTTAACAAGTAGACACCACATCTTCCTCATCCCCTTACCTATTCTTTTTTTCATTTTTCCATTTCTAATCATTCAACTTTTGGTGATGCTTCTAACTTTTTTATTAATACCCCAGCACAGCTCCAACCCAGAGCATTTCCTCATCCTGATGCTTAGCCAAACTTTAGCCAGTTGTTCCTGATTTCTGTCTTCTCTCCAGCCTCCCTGGGAGGGTCATTTATCCCTCTTGACGATTCTTCTGGCTCTCTGCTATATGATCCCTGTGCCTGTCCCCTGGCTGCACCTGGGTCTTGGCCTCATTGTGATTTCTTCTCAGGGATTGAGGGATGGGGAAGATGGGCTGAGGGGAGGATGCAAAAAAAACCTGAAAGTGAGAGGTAGAATGGTTTGGAACGGAGCAGTGGAGATTAAGTATGAGGCCATAAGGAGGAGATTGGTGGATGGGATAGTGAGCAAAAGAGGTAAGAAGGAAGGACAGAGATGAGGGGAAAGACATGATGAGAAAACAGGAGAGGAGAAGGGATAGGGGGATTTGGGGAATCAGACAAGATGCCTCGGAATGTCAGCAAGGTAACAAACGGCTGCAGAATAAATGAAGAATGGGCAGGGAAGGGGGAGGAGGAGGAACGTCATTGTGTGGAATCCCTTCCATCAGTGTGTGTGACTGTCCAATAACCTGCTTCAGCAGCTTTGAGGTCATTGGTGGGCCTCACTCTTCCAACCAAGAAAAACAAAGAGGTTGCGCTTTCCTGAAGTATCGTGATGCCATTACCTGGGTACTTCTCCTCTTCAGCGTCCTCTAGCTAGGGGGTGATTATAGAAGGACACAGCATGAGAGTGACATGTGGGAGCGGCCACGGGGGGAAGGGGGTGGGGAGGATGTGTGTTCTGGGAGATCATCCTCCATGACCATCAGCCATCAAAACCCCCAGTCTCTCTGCCTTTGGGAGGCAGACAATTCTGTGTGAAGCACACCTTGAAGTGTGTGTCTTTCCTAACCGTCTTGGGTCTCCAGTTACTTTGGGGTAGAAGACAGTATTCTTCCCTCAAAGGGAAAAATCCTCGTGAACAGAATCTGGGGATGTGGGTTGTACTCACAGCATCCTGGCTCCTCCTCTGCTCTGCAGTCCTGGAAGGTTTCTGACCATGCTGGGCTCATTCCCGCCTGTACAAGAGAGTGGGACAAGATCGTCTCTCCACAGTCTTTATGTTTAGTGACATCTGAGTGTTATCATCTGACTGAACTTTTCCCCAGACTCTTCACATCAAAAAAACATTTTGACAGCATTATCCACCACCATTTACAGCACTCCATGTACCCCAGGAGCATTTAAGACTCCCCCACCTAATCTTATATCTGACCCCCAAAAGGTCCCCAGGGCCTTGGCAGTGGCTACTTCTGAAAATTCACCCCTTGCCCAAAAAAGAGCCCATCCTCCAAGACCGAAGGTTTTCCTGACAAGTGCAGAAGTTCTATTTCTTTTGGGATTTCTCTCTCTGTACCCCAAATGTAAACATACTTATTTTAATATTATTCATAAAGTCATACCTGTTTGTGGAAACATTACTCAATAGCATTCATCAATTAGAAAATAAAAATCAGTAGAATAGAGGAAAGAGACCAGGGGTTGGGGGAGTGAAGAGAAAGCCTACAGACTGGGAGAAAATCTTTGCCACCTGTACTTCAGATACAGAATTCACAGAGAATTAAGTTCCAGGATACAAAAAAAAAAACTCAAAAAATTTAACACCAAAACCCCCAAATAACAGAATCAACAAATGGGAAAAAACACTGAACAGATACTTCACAGAAGAAGAAATATGAATGATCAACAAATATATAAAAAAAATTCAGTATCTCTATCAATTAGAGAAATGCAAATTAAAGCTACACTGAGATTCTATCTCACTCCAGTCAGAATGGTAATTATCAAGAATACAAGTAACAATAAATATTTGTGAGGATGTGGGGGAAAAGGTAAATTAGTACATTGCTGGTGGGACTACAAAGTGGTACAACCACTCTGGAAAACAGTATGGAGATTCCTCAGAAAATTTGGAATGGAACCACCATTTGACCCAGTTATCCCACTCTCTTTATGTAAGAAAACAAAAACATCACAGGAAAGTGTAATTCTACTGATATGAAATGTGCACATTATACATGCACAATTCTTATGAATAAAGTCTCTGGGAGAATAAACAAAAAATAAGAAAAGTTAACTCTGAATAATGTGATTTTTATTTACTATTCTTTTCAGTTATATATGACATAGAATGTAATTTGACATATTATACATACATGGATTATAACTTCCCATTCTTGTGGTTGTAAATGATGTGGAGTTACACTGATGAAATCTTAGAGCAGCTTTGATTTGCATTTCTCTAATTGCTAAAGATGAACATTTTTTATACATTTGTTGATCGATTGTATTTCTTCTGTGAAGTGTCCATTTTAAGTACATAATACACCATCATTAACTGCAGTCACCACATTGCACAATAGAATTCTAGAACTGATTCCTCCTCAATGAAACTTTGTACCCTCAGATAAACATTGTTCATTTCCTTTTTCCTCATTAGATGAGTTTTTTCTCCTCCAGATTCTTTCAAGATTTTCTCTTTGCTTTCGCTTTTTCTGCAGTTCTCTGTGAAGATTATTTGGTATTTTTCCTGTTCAGTGTTCTCTGAGTTTCCAAGATCTGTAGTTTGGTGTCTGTCGTTAATTTTGTAAAATTCTCAGCCACTATTATTTCATACATTTCCTCTGTTCCTTTTACTCTTTCTTCTCCTTATGATACTGCCATTGTACCATGTGACATCTTTTGAACTTAAACCATAATTCTTGTATATTGTGTTCCACATTTCTCACTCTTTTTTTCCTCTTTGTTTTTCAATTTGAGAAGATTCTAGAAACACATCTTCAAGTTCATGGATTTTTTTCCCTCGGCTTCATCCAGTCTACTTATGAACCTAGTCCATCCTGACTGCTATAACAGAATATCATAGACTGGTGACTGGGAAATCCAAAATCAAATTATCTGTAGTTTTGGTGCCTAGTGAGACTCCACTTCTTGGTTCAGATAAGGCTTTCTTCCAACTGCATCCTTATATAGTGCAATGGATGAGAGAGCTCTTGGGATCACTTTTATAAGGGTACTAACCTAATTCATGAGGGCTCTACTGTATTATATGCTCTGTTATTGCAGTTCTAGATGCATAAGACAGAAGTAAATCCATTAGAGAATGGATATTTTAGAGCATTGGGTTAATTCCTTCAGAGTACTTGGTTCAAAAGGACCACTCTAGATTCTTGCTCTTAGTCAAGCAAAGAAATGGCCTTACTCTTGAAAGTCTAAGAGGCATCAAAAAGCTATGAAATATGACTCAATGGGCCAATATCAGGAAAGAAAGGAATCCCAAAGAGTTGCAATTAACAATTAGACAGCTTTCCCTTGAACAGCAATTGCTGCATCCAATGCAAGGCTGAGAGAATAGAAGGTGCAGCTGAGAGAACAAGAAGTGAGCAGAGT